AATGTATATCATGCATATTGTTTCTTAGTAAATATATTTTATTGTATTGTTTAAATATTACAAACCCCGAAATCGTAACAATAGGAAAATCAAGTTTATTATTTAAAATCAAGGTATTACAAATGTCAACTAAAACTGGATATACGTAACTGTTTTAAGAGTGTCAATATAAGCTAGACATAACTGTTGAATGTTAAAGACTTGATGTTAAACTAAATTTGGCCCGGGTTAAACCCAATTAACGTAATTCAAAAATATATTTTTTTGTTAATAAATATCCAGATCAAGATGAATCCAAAACTAAATTCGCGATTTTGGCACCTAAACACATGTTTTTAATTTTTTCTTCTTCTTTAAAAATAAATATTTTGAAAAAAGAACAACTTTGGTGATAAATGTTTTGTGATGTTAAACAAATATTAGAAATGTATTTTGTGTTTTGTTTTGGTGTTGGAGAATATTTCTTGTATTAGAATACCTTTAGATAATAATAAATGTAATTTTTTTTTTAATAAAGTTTTTTAAAACGAATTTAATATATTACGCTATTATATTATTTTATCTACGCCAGTGGGATAAGAACTTCTTATCCCACTCATTTTGAGTGAGATAAGAAGTTCATTAACGCACGCGTTTTTCTCTGCTTTTAACCAATCAAATAAAAAAGTCAAAATGTCAAAATAACCCTAAATTAAGTCTTAGACAAAAATAATTACCGTTTATTTTTTCATTTAGAGGCGTAGATAAAAATTTGTACAATATACGTGTGATAACGCTTTATTAACGTACTTTTGCGATTGCCCAACTCGTGCTACGCACTCGTTGGGCAAATTTCAAATGCGTACGTTAATAAAGCTCTTATCCCACTTATATCGTAAATAACTAATATTAAATTAAATTGGTTATATATAAAACCAATTTAATTTAAAACATTATATAGCGTATACGCATCAATAAGTCAAATTTGTCGTATATAAATTTATATTAACCAAACTGGATGATTTTAATTAACATTTATAAACTTGTCAATTAAATGCCATCAAAATTTAAATTTCAATTTACTTTACATATTATTTGTATAAATAGTAATTTTCTATAAATTGAGTTATTCTGTTTATAACATAGTAAACCTCAGATTTCAATTATGACAAATATTATTTTATAAATTAGCGACGCGTCGTAATATAAAAATTACCTGCCTAAAATGTTATTGTAATAATATGTAATTTATTATAAACCCAATTAATTTTATAATTTGTCTCGTCTCTCGCACATAAAAGTATTTTCATACTGGGTGGTAAAACATCAGATTATATTAAAGTAAAGTTGTGATCGGAATACACAAGTAAGCAGATGCATTGGATAATTAGAATACGTACAGTAGAAACCGTCAATATATGAACGTGACTCATCGGGTGCCGAACATATCTCAGACATGCTAGCAGTAATGTTTTACTTGTCTTGTACATTCGATGCAGCGGTAAATGTACTCACACGTAGGTTTTTAAGCATCCGGTCTAAAATGCGCCATCTGTGATGTAAAACTGCCTAGGTGTTGGACAAAGATGGACATATGACGCTTGTGTCCTAGCTTGTTACTTAATTTTATTGGAAGTCAGTAGAGTTCGTGTTTTAGGAATTTATTTTATTTTATTACATAGTAAGGCAACCAACTTTACCGTCGGCCATTTGTTTTTATATGTCATATGATCTTTGTTTTTGCATATCTTGTTTCTACTGTGTGTTTACGGATTAATAATCGTTTTAAACGTTGTAGTGGCAGTGGTTTATATTATGTAACACAGGTAGATGTCGTATAAAAATCCTTACCTAGAAATTCTAGGCTAGAATACAAAAATATTTTTATTATACATATAAATTTTGTACTAGTATTAGTTTAATACATTCTGAAGAAGCTACTGTGTAGCGAAACAATTGTCAATATTTAATAAATTTCGTGAAACTAACGCAAGTTGTTTTTATATCCACACAATTTAAATATCTTTCACTTTGTACCTGACCTGCGTAAACATTTTTGTTTTTTGTCACCAATTCTGAAATATTTGCGTTTACAGTTAAAAGAATAGTATATTCTGTAACAAGTTTGACGGTTTCACGAGAGGGGAATATGCAATTCCAAACGTGTTTCAGACTATACTAAGAATTTAATTGGAAGAAAGTGAGGTTGGGTCGGTCTAAAAATTTGTTATTAAAATCAGAGATGTCGCCACAAGTGTACGTTCTGTAATCAGATGATAGAATATTTCATTAAAGTTAAAAGAAAAGTTTATTTATTAATTAGTTTCTAAGAAAATTACAGTTTATTTAATTATCGTAGATGTTAATTATGTTAGATGTTAATTATTTAACATTTTTAAGTATAGCAACCAACATTACACTAAATTTTTTTTACAAACGAGACTGCACTGGACCGTGACCTTCGATAGATTGCTTCGTACGAATGTGTCGGATGAGTCACGTTCATATATTGACGGTTTCTACTGTAGGTAGGTATTCAATTTGTTCGCATCCTTAAAAGGACATGAGGATTCAATGAAACTAAAGACTAACGAAATGTTAAACAAACAATTACTGCAAGATATACAAAGTTAAATATAAAATACAAAATTATCATTAAAATTACAATTTTTTAAAAAGTAGCATTTTTAATACATTCTGTATTGAAAGTACTTTGTATTTTTCTACCTACAAAAAATTATATACAGGGGGACAAAACTACGAAAAAGTTTTGTATAAACATGTGTACAGGAATGCTTAAAAAATATGTTTTTACAAAATGTCTTATCGATTGTACTAATTTCGACACTATATGTAATCATAAAATTCGCGTATAATTTTTTAAGATTTCGGGACACATGTCCATTTTAATTTTAATTTAAAGTTTTGATCCACACAGAGAAAAAGCTTTCATATTGTGAATAAGTTAAACATTGAGCCAATGGTGTACTGTATTTGCAATACCTGAATTACAGCTATGATCAAATAAATGATTGTCTTATATTTATTTGTGCAAATCTTCTTAAAATTAGTTCAAAAGTCATTGAATTAAATTGCGATTCTATTAAATCCTCATTAAAACTTATTTTAACTATAGTTAAATACATAAGACATTATTGAATTAAATTGTTATTTAATTAAAGCCACAATGAATCTTAATGAAAAACTATCATTGGCATAAATAAAGTTATGGTCCCTAATGAATGGCTATATATATTTTTTTTTCTGGAAACAGCTTCTGGTAGTCTTGTGTACACAGGTTTTTCGATCCATAAAATAAAATTGTTCTGTTTTCTGTAGGAACTATTAGGAACCCACTAGAAGTGTTAGTGATATTAGACTCTAAGAAAGTTGCTGACCCATCACTATCAACAGTTACTGTACTGGATGTGCAGGATCTGTCTGCCATGGTACATGGTTATTCTAAAACGAAAGAGAAATTTCATCTTATGTATTTAGAGGTGAATCCCAAAGATTGCTGAGTCCTAAAGTCCTAAAGCAATATAAACTTTCAGGACGCCCTGCAAGGATATCTTGATGGTACTGAATGACTATAAGAAGTTTTTTATAAATAAATAAAAATTTCGTCCATTTAAGCAAAATAGCTATTTTAAGGCATGACACCGAATATCAAGAAAAACTGTGCCCATGGTATATACCTATTTGAGTACACATTTACCTTTTTGTTAACATTAAGATATAATTGAGTAATTAAATTACTGGATAATGCATGGCGGACAAACAATTAAAAAACATGTACTCGTACAACTTACCTTAAAAATTTGGGATTCGGGAGTACAACCCCCAAGAAATTAGCAAATATAACAAACACCACCTACACAAGAGATAACTCATACACTTACATCCAGTGTTGTAACGTATCTAGTTACAAGTAACTAGATACAGTATCTAGATACTTTTTATGTATCTGTTTGTGTAACTAGTTACTTATCCCAATCTAGTAACTATAACTGTAACTAGTTACAAATTCTAAGTAACTAGGTGTGTTAAGATACAAAGATACATTTTTAATTAAACTGCGACTATTATTTATTAAAAAAAAAAATATTATAAAAAATAAGTTATTTTAAATAAAATATTATAAAAAAAATAAAAAAATAATAAACATGTATATTTTTGTTGTCACTTTAAAATTCCCTTTTATTCTATTTTAAATTTTTTAAAGCAAAAAATAATTTGTATGTATCTTAAAGTATCTAGATACTTTTTGAAGGTAACTGTATCTGTAACTAGTTACTGCAATAAAATATGTATCTGTATCTGTATCTAGTTACAAATTTTGGTAAGTAACTGTAACTGTAGCTAGATACTGAAAATATTGTAACTGTTACATCAATCGGCGTCACCAGAAATACCGATTAATCAGTTGATCACATTTAACTATAAGCACGTACGTGATTGCAGGTTGCCGATGTGTGGTGTGGCAGGGGATGCCCTGGCGCGTTTGTCTGCAAATAACAAGTATTTTTTAAAACAGTGAAAACATTGGTATTTACGGTAAAATAGTAATAACCCCATGCAGTAGCACAAAATATTGGTCCTATATGGGGCGCGTCTATGCCCAATATTTTATCTGGGCGAATATTGGATTTATTTAGCCAATGTTAGCCCTATATTGGCATAAAATGATAATTGCCAATATTTATCCAAGGTTGTTCCTATATTGGCATATTATTTTACGCCAATATATCATTAACTATAGTCAACGATGCTTTCGGATTTCTAAATTACATAGTTACAGCCTTAATATAAAATATTTATTTAATAAAAATCAGAAATTTAATTTTTATTTTATTTAAATATTTGTATACGTTAATACAGCTAAATTCTATTGAAATAAATTAAAATATAAATTTATTCTATAAAATAACAATAAAAATATAATTTTATTATATAAAATAACAATAAAAATATTGTAGAATTTTACTTTTATAGTACGCATTCAATCAAAAGTATATTGTTTAAATATTAATTAATTTGACAATAATTAAAAAATATTTGAGACCTGTGGGTTTATAAATTTTGTTAATTGTTATATCTTTTTACGTTTGGACTTTAAAAATATGATTTAATAAAATCGGTATTTTTAGATGGACATTTTAATAAAATAAAATTAAGATTGATTTTCATAATTACCTACGTCAAAATAAAATAAAATTTAATAAAATAAATTAAAATTAAATATAAAATTTAATTAAAATTTAAAAATGCAATTCGTTCATCACTCAACATTTTATAATGGGTCATACAATTTTATACAAAAATTCGGTTTGATTGTAAAAGTCCGAGATTAGCATCAGACCAGTTAATTAGTAATATTATATTCAGAATTTATTTCATGACAACGGTCCCTTAAGCAAATCGCGAAATGAAAAAGCACTCAATTTTTAATTAGATTTAGTTAATTCCGGAGAATTTTAATGGATATTTTACATTATCCGTCCTTGGTTTGAAACAGTAGTCAAACTTTTACAACTCAAACAGATCAGTTTTCTTGGATGCTTCGGATACAAAAATTACTAAGCGGTTTTAAAATTTTAATTCTTCTGTCGCCGACCATTCTCCCTTTTTCTCAACTAATTAAAAGTGCGTTAATATTAATTCTGATTCACTTTTTCTTTTTTAATCCCCTCAATTATAAATTATAAAAAATGATAAAACATTATTTGAGTTTTCTAATAGCAAGAAAACCCAAGATTAACAAAATAATAGTTAAAGGTTCCAAGTAGATTTTTTCATACCAATTAAGGTCTAAAGATTTACATTTTGTATAAGGCATTCCCTTGTGACGTAATACATATTCTAACCAATAAATTGCTTCATCCATAGGACTTCTTGGACGGTCATGAAACAAATTTGAATATAACTTGGCATTTTCTTTATAACTAAAACAAACAAAAATATATATACTTTAAAACATTTTCTTGGCATTTATTTTTAAGCAGTGTTAATTATTCTAATTTTCCTATTTTGAATTAAACTTGGTGCCCAAGGAAGGGGCCATCCATAAATCTCGTGACGAGTCGGAATTTGACGAATTATCGAACCCTTTTCCCGTTATTAATTTTTTTCGAGTCTTTTATACTAAAAATAAAATAAATAAATTTGATTTACTTTGTCATGTGGCGTTTTTTGCCCTACGAAATTCATGGACGCCCACAAGTTCTTTGCAATTCAAATATTATATTTTGCATATTATCCATGTGTTGTTTATATTCAGTTCTTTTACACTATTATGTGGACTTATACTATTTCACAGCGCATCCAGGGATATATTATAAAAAACGATGACTGCTAATTTACCATTTAATCTTTACCATTTAATCTTCCAAAAAGTTGATGAAGGTGTAGCGGCAATTTCGCCCGTACTCAGGTATCAACCAAGGCAAACACGAAATTTAATATTTTAAGCTCACCATTAAATTCCAAATTTAAATAGTCTTATAATCCCAATATTCGTAAATACGCAAATATGTTGTCTGCTCACTATTAAATTTCAAACTTCCCCAACATTAAATTTAAATCACGTCGGGGTCACCAATTTATGGGGTTGTGGTGTAATTGTAACAGTCTGCATCATACAACACAACAATCGACATCATAGAAGACAACAGCTACCATCTTATTGTAAATAGTTTATTTGTAAATAAATACAGTATTGCAATCAGCATCGTGTTACAATTACACCACAACCCCATAAATTGGTGACCCCGACGTGATTCGAACATGCAAGTATTTGTGGAAGAATAAATCAGTGCTACCAACATGACGAAGACCAAAGCTTCCGGCCTACGGCAATCATTCGCAAACGTAGCGAGCTTTGTGGCACTTCCCTACGCTGCGGTGCACAACACGGTCCACACTGATGTCCAGCACTAAGATCTGCCTCAGTATGACAGTACTGGAGGCCAATATCCACAGCCTCGGTCCACACTGGTTCCAGCACTAAGGTCAACCACAGTTGACAATGTTGGATACCACTAACCAACCATCCAAACGCTGGATGACGGTCACAGCTCAATCATCCAAACACTGGATGACGGCCGCAACCACAGCTCTAACGTTCAACGGCTATATCGTTCAATAGCTCTATCGTTCAGCTCTAACGTTCAAACGCTCTAACGTTCAACAGCTCTAACGTACAACTGCTTTAACGAGCAACAGCTCTAACGTTCAACGGCTTCAATCCTCCTCAACGCGAGATGCCTCAACGCGAGATGCCTCAACCCGAGATGCCTCAACACGAGATGCCTCAACCCGAGATGCCTCAACCCGAGATGCCTCAACACGAGATGCCTCAACACGAGATGCCTCAACACAAGATGCCTCAACACAAGATGCCTCAACGCGAGATGACTCAACACAAGATGCCCCAAGCAGACATCCCAACGCTGAATGCCCAGAACCACCACCCACTCGGACGCCTGGACCGTCCACCTCGAGGAACGTCACACGTTACGGAAGACGTGTCCGATTTCCCGAGCACCTCCAGGCAGTACTCAATTAATTCAATTACATTACATACATCACCAAAGACGAGCTCCCTGAACAGCCTCAGAGCGCGTCCGAAAGCGCACCCAGGGACGAGACACCAGGAGACGGGATGCCGGCAGACGAGGTGCCAGAAGACACGATCAGCCCACTGCCCAACCAGACACCTGGACCTTCTACCCCGGGGAACACCACACGTTACGGAAGACGTGTCCGATTCCCGGAACACCTCCAAGCAGGAATCAATTAATTTCCGGCAATTACTGGTAGGGGGGTACTGTAGCGGCAATTTCGCCCGTACTCAGGTATCAACCAAGGCAAACACGAAATTTAATATTTTAAGCTCACCATTAAATTCCAAATTTAAATAGTCTTATAATCCCAATAATCGTAAATACGCAAATATGTTGTCTGCTCACTATTAAATTTCAAACTTCCCCAACATTAAATTTAAATCACGTCGGGGTCACCAATTTATGGGGTTGTGGTGTAATTGTAACAGTCTGCATTATACAACACAACAATCGACATCATAGAAGACAACAGCTACCATCTTATTGTAAATAGTTTATTTGTAAATAAATACAGTATTGCAATCAGCATCGTGTTACAATTACACCACAACCCCATAAAGGTATGGGTAAACTCAACTGAGAAAGGGTATTTGTTTTGCAAAAAAGGGTATGAGTCATGTAAAGAAATAATTAAAAGCAATAACATATTAACACTGTCTGGCATTTATATTTTTGAACTTCTTAAATTTGTCAAAAATAATTTAAACCAATTTAATAGACTAAATACTTATCATCATTTTCAATACAGCAATCATAGACTCGAATTATTATTATTATTATTATTATTATTATTATTATTATTATTATTATTATTATTATTATTATTATTATCCACAATATGCACTGCATGTTAGAGAGTCAGAGAATGTTTTCTGGACAATGGATTTGACGAAAAGCTCTGGATTGACCAGATCTTCAAATTTGACTTCTCTAGACTTACTACGTATCCTGGATTAATGCCGTCAAATAACTTTTTAAATTCTTCAAAATGTAGAAGCGTTTTGAACAAAATTTGTTTTTAATGGTATTTTCGGATTTAGGGGACAATTTTACATGATAATTGACTGTTAAATAAACGGGATCCAAATTGCTGTGGACAACAATAATAAGTGGCTGCTTTTTCACTATAAAACCTAGTAATTTTTGACTAATTCAATTTTAGAGATTAGGAAAAGTTTTAGTCGAAACTAAAAAAGTATGAAAATTACACAATTTTACAAAATTACACAATTTTACATTTCTAAAGGGTGAGATATTAAAGAATTCAAATAATTAAATGTGGGCTGTTTTAAGTTCATAATACCTAAGGATCAACCTTAATTTTTAACCATCAAAATCTAAAATCATGCAGCAGACTAGATTTGTGTTTTTATATTATGGAACGACTCAATAGGAATAGTTATTTGTTTTACAAGTGTTAAAAAGCGACTTTTTCATGCAAGTGCATTAAAACGAGCTTGGAGAAATCTTTTCTCACATGTGAAACACAATATTTTTTTAATGTTTGACAGCTGTTAAAATTACTTTCATCTTATTCTTTTAATTTTTAAGGTATAAGTTACTAGTGGCGGCTCGTAGGTTCTGGAAGAGGGTGGGCACAAAAAACTTACCTACTAATTTTTGTACATACAGGGTGTTATGTAATTAATGTTATATATTAAAATACTGAATACCTTTTGACATAAGGAATAAAGGAAAAATATTAAAAAAAACATTGATACGCCACTGGTTACACACTTGTTTATCTCTGCACACCTGTATTTTGTGAGTACATAGATACCAACCAACAAAGTAGCTATGCGTTGCCAGATGTAAAAAATTGTTACTAAAAATTTTTCTTGCAAAAAATAAATAAAAACTCAATAAATACAAAAGTTTTATGCCCTTAAAGCTCTAATACCCTTCTGTATTTATTTACTGATCCAGCTATTAGCTTAAGCAATGATTAGAAAATTTAGTACCTTTGAAATTTGAAATCCATAACCACAAAATTAATTTTTTCATCAGTTATTTTCTCTGTTTACTCAGATGAAATTGGGACCAGTTCACAGGTTAAACTTTAAACATTTAATTTGTGTAAATAAATCCAAAAGCACTTCCCTTAGTTTAAGATATTTACAATTTGAAAACATAACCTAAAATTTAAAAGAAATGCACTAGATTCTGTCATAAAAGTTGGCAGATTTTGTTTGAATTTACCTTCAGTACAAAAATGAAACAACCAACAATTAATAAAAACGCCAAATTGACAATTTGCATTGTTAATTTTGTCATTTTTGTAATTAAGCTAAATTTAAACAATGTTTGTCAACTTTTTTGAGAGATTTTGGAAACACTGTTGTTACCAACCATAACATAATAAATCCACCAGATTAACCTTAAGTTCCTAGTCGGTCAGTGGCGCTAAGGAACAACCCATTTTAATATATATTATTAATTACATTACTCCCTGTATAGACCATTTTCCTATTTTTTGCGAGAAACTAAATTTTCGTTCCTGCAGTTTTTTTTTGAAAATTAAGCACAAAACAAAAAAGCTTATTGGTTACTGAACATCCGCATATCCACTCGTATTTTTCATAGATATTTCTGTTGAATACTCTATTGTAAGTTCGGCCTTTACCTGTGGAAGTGTAGTGTATTCGAAGATCGGAAATATGTCTTCCTTTTTTCTTAATTAAAAGTTTATCTATGGGCTTTTTAAAAGATTTTGAACACAACTTACTTCCGCTGGTGCCATTATTGTTAATAAAAAATAAAGTTTATTTAAAAAATAAAACACGTAATTCACTTAAAACTTAAAAAACAACGGCACGCGGTGACAAAAAAGAAATCAAACAAACAGACACAGATAACAACTCAGCGGTTGAAGAGAAACTGCGTTCGGTGCCCCAATTGACGATATATATATAATATATTCGCGTACTGAGAGATTAACCGAAGATCACCGAATCATACACGGAATAGGTACATTTTAAATAGTGCCCCGGCGGCGCGCGCTGAATCGTTGCGGCAAGAAGGTTTAATTAAATTCAACCGTTTGAGCGGACGGAAGGAAGGTTTGAGACCATCCTTAAATAGTAATTACTATGGTGTTACGTATAACTAAAATAATGCACAATGCAACAAATAACTTTTATTACTTTTTATCTGGGCGGTTGGGTGGGCACGTGCCCTTGTGCCCTTTAGAACCAGCCGCCACTGTAAGTTACTTAAAATCAATAAACTTACCTTCTCAATTTAAATAAAGGCACTAAAAATTAGAATTTAGTATACAAACACAATTAATTATGTTCTAAATGATATTTAGACAAACATATACAAATACAATACAAATTTTGAAACGAATGTCAAAGATGATGATTTCTCACAGAAATGTCACTTTTCATTTGTGTTTTGCCTTGCCAATGAAAAGATTCATTTTGTAAGCAAGTTGCTTTGAATGCCATTACGCAAGTTGCATTGAATGCCATTACGAAATGTGACTTTTACATAGTGGTCGTAGAAAAAATTAATTACATAGCGGAGGCAAAATATAATAATAATAATAATAATAATATAATACAAAATTAATTTTTAAATTGTATCTTAAATAAATAAAGAAAAATAATATCATTTAGGCCCTGATTTCGTTACAATTTTTCAAAATCAAATCCGTTTCATATGGAAAATGACAATTAGAGTATAAATTTTTCAAGTGGATTACTATTTTTTGGTAGGTCGTGCTTAACTACCAATGTTTAATATTTTTTTGCTCCTATTCCATTATTAACATTATATGGGTTTTTTCAAAGACATAAAATGGGTTTTTTCCTATACAATGGTCACCATTATAATCACCCCGGCTAACAACGGAAATATTGAATTCATTATTTACCTTGACAGTGATTGGCTGATATAAATATTCACTATGATTTGAAACAATCGCAAAAGAGGTTTGAACTTTCTAACAGATGTCAATTTTTTTATATACATATACGAGGGTGACTATAATGGTCATTAAAATTGATATAAAGTAATGTTTTAAATACATTTTGTTATAGTAGGATTTTTATAAGTTGTCCGTTACGTCATCAAGGTACGAAAGTAGCTCAAACATTCGTATTGTACTTAAAGCGACACACGTATTTTATAACCAAATCTTTAGGGGTCTTAAGGAGTTGTAATCAAGGGATAGACGGCAAAAGCTATACTGCACGTATGTCTACACTGCACTGACAGTTTCTGTTCAGTGGCGTGGTTAGTATTTTTTCGTGTTTTTTACGATTTGACTCAAAGTGGCGGCTGGTGGATTTTGGGCACACCCATCTCAGTTATTAGATATGGGACCCACATCAAATTTATATGAGTTTATAATGACATTATATAGACAAGTTCTGCGCAAGCAGAATTTAAATTGAAGTTTTCGAAAAAAAGTTAGTTTTTAAGTGTGCCCCCCAGCCTCCTGCCCCTCCAAATTAAGTTAATTCAAATTTAAGTGGTACAATATTTAATTCACTGAAGTTTATCGACAAATTTAAAATTTTATTAAAAAAATTCAAGGATTACAGGTTTTATACCATTTTAAATTTTTATTATTTCTTTTACTAAATTTAAAAAAAAATAGAAATGGTATAAAATCTGTAAAATTTGTTGATAAACTTCAGTAAATTAAATATTGTAGCACTTTAATTTGAATTATCTTAATTTGGGGGGGGCAGGAGGCTGGGGGGACACACTTAAAAACTAACTTTCTTTCGCAAACTTTAATTTAAATTCTGCCATGTCTAATAACTGAGATATGGGTGTGCCAAAATCCACCAGCCGCCATCATTTGAGTGTTTAATAAACACTGTTTGCAGTGCTTTTAACAGTTCAGACATTGAGTAAGGAAGTAAGGAACATCTTACTCAATGGTTCAGATTTAATGTTTCCTTCGTGTTTATTATTTTCAACTTGTTTTTATTGGTATTCCAATAAGTTGTTTTCAGCTATTTACAGAAGCAAAAACGTAAAATGCTAGGCCAGGTTTTAAATTCTCAATCTAGGGAAATGGTTGCTTCATTATTAGGCTATTTATTATAATTAATTTTTTTGAAAGCAGTTTTAGAGGTAATTTAAGATATTATTGTAAATTATGTGAATCAATATTTAACCTTAAATAAAATTTTACGATACGCCACTGGTACAACAGTTGATTTGGTTCACATGCTTTACAGTGATGACATAACGGACAAGTTATAAAAATCCCACTATACTAATAATAATATTAATTATAAAATTACCTAAAATAGAAAAAGCATAGTAATACCCTCGAGTAATGCCCATTGTTCACCCGAATAATTTACGTCTCTCACCTGACGGCTCAAGACGTAAACCTCATCCTCGTTTATAATAGCATAATCTCTCGTATAATAATATACCATATATAATTTATATTATAATATAATATTACCTAATATAACTTTTTTTGTTGTATAAATGGTACATTTTTTTCTGGGACGATAACTTTTAAAATGAAATATTCTTAATTTATGGAAAATATATTTACCTTGTATCGTGAAAAATTTTGTTTAGTGAATCTTTAAGATTATTTGCAGTTAAATCCTTTAATTCCAATATTACTGCATATTTCTTTAAACTTGCATATTTAGCATTTACAAATTGGTCCCCAAAAACTGGTATACATAGAAGTGGCACGCCATAATAAATAGACTCAATTATACTCATTTTCCCACAGTGACTTATAAAAACTTTAATATTTTTATGAGCTAAAATACTTCTTAATATATTACATATTACTTTTATCTTCCTAGCTTACCTATAACATCTGTCTGTGTAACCCACTTTATAGTTTTAACATTTTTTGATATGGATCCAGGACTTCCATCAAATTTCCATAAAACACTTTGGGTAATATTAGCAAAACATTTTATAAATGCTTCTTTTTGTTCATCCCGTAAAAAATTACTATCTAACACTGAGCCCAAAGAAATATAAACAACTCCTTCTTTATTACTTTCTATAAACTTTTCAATATCTAAAGGCAAATTTTTTGGAGGCTTCACGTGAGCACCTCCAATTTCTTTCATGGAAGGAACCAATGGGATAACTGGATTTAAACTATGATGAGAATTCAGCAAAAATAAATCAACGTTATATAGAAGATCTTTTAAATGGGGAAGGGGTCCAATTACTTCTTGAAGCAACTTATTTTCTAACGGAATGGAATACAAATGTGTAAATACCGTATAAATAAAATCAAAGAAACAATTCAGAAATCTTTCCCATAAGTTCATAAAGGGAGGTAATCTATAATAGGGATTTGGTGAGTATGAAGTATAATGGGGATTTCCAAGGATATTATTTATGAAAATATTTGATGATAAAGTTGAGATTGGCACAACTGGACATTTAAAATAATACCCCAGAGCTGTAAATAAATTTGTAGAAAATTTATCATATACAACTAAATCAAATGAACTATTTAGAACAGGTTTGAATTTCTTATCCCTAAAGGTTATTTCAGCCAAAAAAAAATTGTAATTAAACATACCAAAATAATTTGAGAGGGAAGAAATTTTTTGGTCAAAGTGCATTTTATTCATCACCTCTAAAATCATAAATATAATTAAACCTATTTTTGCTAACAAAAAAATCTTACCTAATCCGTGTTTATCAGGATTTGTTAAAATAATGTCAGTCCAATTTTTTAGTGGATCTTTCTCTTTAAAAAAGCTAACAAAAGTTACTTCATGGCCTCTTTTATTCATTTCTTTCATAACTGTGGAGCCCAACACATAATGACTGTAAGATGGAATGCTAAAAATAGCCAAAATTTTTGCACAAAGCCCTATTTTAACATTAATTAATAAAAAAATCATAAAAATATAAGTTTTCATTTTTTAAAGTCTGAGTTATGAGCTACTATATTATCAATACTAAACAAACGATATGTAGTACAAATATATTTTTAGAATTATCTATGTTAATTTCGTAGAATATATGAAATATTTTAATTTTTTTGAAATAAATTATTTATAAATAAGTAAAATATATTTATGATAATAAACCAATATTAATTTTAAATTAACTTTAACATGGAGTAATATTTTTAAAATTATATATTGTATAAATTATTATTATAAAATATGAAAATAAATATATCTAAATAATTTTGTGATACCAGCATAAATCCAATAAAGAACTTTTGGTGTATAGCAATCCTTTGTGGCGTATTGTGTGTTGTAACCAATAAATTGCTTATCCATAGGATCATTTTTTTGCCTTTTATTTTTAAAGAAAAATATTACTTTAATATATTTAATCTTATATTAAACTAGTATAGGTACTTACATTGGGTTTATTATAAATTGCTGAATGCTTTCTTAAGGTTATTTACTACTTACACTTAATGCTCCACGTTGGCTTATACAAGCCTTTAAATTTTGATGTGCTGAATTATAAATTAAATTAAATCACAAGAGTAGAAGAGTAGAAGAGGTTTGAGTAGTAGTCGATAGTGTTATCTAAAAAAATCTTGTATTTATTTTGGCAATATTTTAGTGGAAAAGGAACTTAGGCTATAACTGGATTAATTCTACTATGGAAGTTTACCAAAAATAAGGCAACATTGTACAGAATTTCAATTAAAAAAGAAAGACGTCCAAGTTTGTTGAAGTAACTCATTTTCTTTTGGTTTTAAGTAGAATTGTAGTAAACAAAAAGATAGAGTAATTCATAAACCTTTCCTATATATTCATATGTGGAGTTAATTTATAAAGCGAAATGGGGGTCCAGGGTACCACTCAATAAACTATCAATAGTTACCAATTGGTAAAAATAGTTGAGTAGAATATTGCCTACTATAATAGTAGGCAATATTCTACCTCTTCGCATCAATGGTTACTGTTTAATTTTCCCCGTGTACTTTTCATTGATGCCCACTGCAGTTGGCAAAAATCCTGGAACCCTGTATAAAAATGATTACGGGAATTTTGAGCTCGCTGATTACGAATCTTCTGTCAAATTTTTAAAAAACAAAATGGCAAGCAATTTTGTAAACATTGCTCCCGATTTGAAAAAAAAATTGGCAACATCGGTTTTTGTAGTCACTAATTTCAACTTTTGCCTCAAATTTACCAAAAACAAAATGGAGGGCGAATATATATATATATATATACAATTATAATAATGCAATGATATATCCTATAGGAAAAATAGTTTAAATTTTCGATGTTTTTTTAGTATTTTTTATTTTCAAGTTAATTCTTCTATTTAGGACATTTCGATTTTTGGGAATCCTAGTCCCAAGTTAGGACTCCTAACTGAAGTTTTAGAATTGAGATGAGTATTTATTTTAAATCGATTTTATAAGCTTTTTTCATAACACTTAAAATTTTATTATTTATTGAATTAGGATAAGGGTTATCAATAAAATAATATATGCTACGGTATATAGTGTTAACAACATAACACTGAGGTATTTTCCAGTTATATTACACTGGTCAACAAAATAAAATGTTTTGTTTGACATTGGGAGGCCAATATCTTTTCTAGGGAAATTTGGGTGCTCTAATTGGTGATTTCAAAAATGACCAACATTTTGCTGTTGCATCTGTTGTTTTTGCGATATTGGTAAAAAAACCGGTTTTTTCGAAATGCAAACATAAAAATTTGGCATATACTTTGTTAATTAAATACTTTAACCAAAAAACAATGGTTATGTAGCTATGTGTGCATAACTTTAGCAGAAAAAAATATATACACATGTGACTGCAGTCATAAAGCCAAAATTGGAAATTTTTTAATATTTAAAAGTTCTGTATCACAAACGTCGACGTTCAGACAAAGATTAAATATACTTTTTAAATATATTTAATCTCTAGTTCTAGATCTGAGTCTGATTTGGATGAACCTTAAAAATGTTGCGAAAAGATTTATCTTCTTTATTGTTTTAAAATTTTAAACCAATTAAATAAACATCGTCAAAATTGCACTTAAAACAACCGCGAGTGTCAAAATTTATATTTACGGTAATTTTCGCTCCTGTAGCTTAAACTTTTTAAAATAATTAATGATCTAATATTTCTTCGAAACAAATCATGCTTGCCATTTTATTACATTTATTTTAGTAGGTACTGACTTATGCAACGTTTTTTTACATATTTTTTTTAACATTTAATTAAACAGTATCATTCTTTTTTATATACATATACAATACATATTTTATTGCCAGACAAAAAATTTATTTAAGGAGTCCTACAAGTGCCAGAAGAAAAAATGACTGAAATTAACTTATGACATGCGCGGTTATTTTTAGTGCGATTTTGCACAAATTAGTAAATTAATGATGATATTTTATTTTGAAAATTTTACTAAAATCATACAAAAATTGTTCATGTTACAGCACAAAATTGACAAAAGGTTCTTGCAGGCGCAGCGACGATATATAAATAATTGTAGTTTAACTAATACCTAATAGGTGGACCTAATGATTTATACGTAGTTAAGAAAAACCAAACTAAGTAAAATTTACGATTTATTTAATAATTTAAAATCTTAGTTATTTTAACTCAGTTAAAGAAAAGTTAATAGCTTAAGTCATGTTCCGATTGCTTATCTTTTGACGATACCTAATGAATTCTTTGGAATACCTGTTTACAAATCAAACCAAACTTGAATAAAAATTTTGCATTTGTAGAAATTTTGTTTATATATTTTTTAATTGGTATACAAATAATTTAAATTTATATATTAAATGGACGAAATCTTTACATTCAATATTTGCAGTTAAATTAAAAACTAGAATTTGTCAATGGTAAAATTTTATTTTTGAAATAAAATGATTAACTTGGTTAATAATCCGACCAAAAATTGATTCGGTTGTTCTAGTGCTAAATTGGAGTTAACAGGCACAACAGGTTTTAAATCGGTTTTCGAAGGTCAAAGTAGGTTTGAATTATGTATCTAAATTTTGACTCGGGTAATAAGCTAAATTACAAATGCTCCTTGATTAAAGTATTTTGTTAACAAAAAATATATATGAACTTTAATGTTCCTATGGCGAAAAAAAAAGGTTTTTGAAAACAATAAATAATTTAGCAAAAAGATGCCAGCACACCCAAATTCCCTGGAAAAGTTGTTGACCACCATGTGACAAAATTGATGTGGACCAGTGTTATCACTGCAAAAGAATGTCAATCTAAATTTGAAAAGGACCTTTAATTTATAATGAATATATAAAAAACATAGGAAAGTCAAATTTAAAATAATTTAAACAAATTTTCTTACAAAAACGTTTATGTTGGGCAACCCTTTACATTGAATTAAAAATAATTTGTATTTATAATACGTACAAAAAATAAATGAGTACAAAATTTAAAATTTGCTGAATACCTTTGCATATAACTTTAAATACATAATACAAAAAACATAAAATAAAAAATAAAAATATAATTAAATCTAAATAATTTTTTTGATACCAATTAAGATTTAAAGCATTGGATTTAGTGTAGGGTAGTCCTTTGTGTTTTATCACATATTCCAGCCAAAATAAAGCAGTATCCATTGGTTTTTTAGGATTGTCTAATAGAAGCTTGGAATGGTGTTTAGCTTTTTCTTTGTATCTACAAAAATAATATTTTATTCGGAACAATTTAAATTAAAATGGTTTTGGGAATAAACATAAAAAACTTTACTAATACTACTAAAATAATAACAAATAAGGATCAAAATTATTAAGATGTCCAATTTTGTTCCAACACAAATATTCTTTACAGTTTTGTTTAAATTAAAATTATTTTAAATATTTAGGTTCATAAAACACATTTCACTGTGTTTTTTTTTTTGAAAAAATTATAATGCGTATTTTTCTATTGAATGTTTTAAGAATGCATCCACATAATACGTTATAATATATTGTATAATAGTATATTCTGTAAAAAGTTTGTCACACGAGCCGAAGGCGAGTTTGACGGTTTTACGAAATATGCAATTTCAAACGTGTTTCAGACTAATTTTTTTCTACGTTTTCAAAAAATACAATAGAAAAATAATTTAATTGGAAGAATTAGATATTAAATCTAACAAATTTTAGACCGATCCAACCTCACTTTCTTCGAATTAAATAATTTTTTAAAACACAATAGAAAAGAATAATTCATTCTGTAATACTTTAAGGAATATATGTCACTCCACATTAAAAAGTGATACACAGTAAAAAAAAATCAACTCTAAGCAACACTAATTAGAGTTCACACAGGTCCACACTAAATAGTGTTGTTTTATAACACTACAATTAGAGTTAATTTGTAGTGTAATTTTCCCCAAGTAAGCAAATATGATTTAAAACTATAGCACTGATGATAAAGTAATTTTACACTACTTTACATTAAAAAGTGTTAATTTACCTAAAAGCGTGTACTACACTTCCTGGGTAAAATCCCACTTTTGTTCAGTGTAAATGAACACTAATTTGGAAAAGTTCTTATTTTAGAAAGGTACTTTTACTCTTTTAGTGCAAACTTCTAGTGTAAATTAACACTATCATTTGAGTAAAACCTATTGGTGGTAGTGAATAAAACGAAAAGGTAAATAAAGAGAAACATTTATTTGGAAAAAAATCTATGACAATTATCAAAATCGGTGCCTTTTAAAATATAATTTTATATTTAAGTCGTATGGCTGGCTTAAGCAAAATGGTTCCTTAAAACGTAAAAGTTTTAGATCAATGCCATGTTTTACTGGCTGTCAACTTGTAAGCAATGAATTATCTTGAGAATTCATCAGTAATCCATTTTTCTGTTATAAAAAATGGGTGATCCCATTGGTAGAGACTCTACTATAGAGGCGTCAGGCGGCTGTATGTCGGGGATTTACCACAAGTGTACAAATTTTCCATAATATTAATAAAAATGTAGGTATAGGTTAATATAACAACCATTACGCTTAAAACTAAAAAATAAATCAATTGTGTATATATTTATATTATATATATTATTAAGTACCCGACCTACTGCCGTAAATTATTGATATATAATATAGGTCGGGTATGGACATCAATTTAACATATTGGTATTTATTGAGTATTAAGGCTTAAAGAAAAAGGAAGTATACTACTTACCAAAAAATAAGAATGCCCATATATGGATTCACCGTAATTAAAATCTAACTGAACAAAAATGCCACACTTCCACAACGCGGTATCTCCGTATATGCACTGCGTAGGTAGATAGGTACCAACGAAACATTTTAAAACGCATTTTGGTTATTACCAGTTTTTTCAGTCTATTTTGCCACTATTGGTGTAATTTACCTTTAATTGTGATACAATGTGCACTAGTAGTGTAAAGAAAAAAGAGCACTTAGTATAACATCAACACAGACAAAGAAATTGGCATGCACTGTAGTATACATTTTGTCACTATTTAACACATTAAGGGGTAATAAACACTCGCATTAAGTTTTTCTACCCTTTTGATTTATTTTAATAATAAATAGTGCGAATGTACCAATGAATAATGTTCATATTCTTTAAATGTGTTTAATAAAGTTAATAAGCACTAAATGCTACCTAGTGTATTTTGTAGTGTAACTTTTACACTTAAAAATCAACTAATATTTTTACCCCTACACTAAAAAATTTACACGGGCAAAATTTGTTACTGTGTATTAAGTCATATTCCGTAATAGGAGTAGAAAATAATATATTATATAATGGCAAAATCAAAATATTTATAACATTTTTAATTCTGAATCCTATTTTATATTTTCTTGTATCAGTCACCTAATGGTGCTTTTTATAATTAAATTAATATTGAGTTTAATTTTAACCTAAGTAACGTAATGTACATGAAAGTCGTAATTATTTTTTTTTTGTAAAAAATAATAAAATTCACATGATGAAATTGCATGCAGAAAAGCATATTTTGATGAGTAAACATGTTAAAACAACCGAAGACTGCGATGTTTGTATAGATTCAATTATTTTTTTTAAATAGTTCAAACGAGGTTAAATATCTTAACATTAAAAAGTCGCATAAAGAACAAGACACTAATTGAATTGCTTAATATTAAAACAGTCAAGTTTTTAAAAATAAAAAATATATCCAATATTATAAAGCATTTGTGGTACAGGCACTTAGATCGTTTTATTACCAACGATCCGATCCGTCTTGTTAATTTTAGTAAGTTGCAATATGCTAATCAAAATTTAAAAAAATTGACTTGACTATTAAGCGATTTAATTTAATGGGGCTGGCCAGAGTATATATGGACTCTCTACACTGAGGGCCGGTTTATCAATGTCCAGTTAAAGTTGCAGTTAGTTATCTGGTAGATAATTTCCATGGATACCATTGTTCTCACAACGATCGATATGAAATTTAACCGTCAGATAGACTAACTGGAACTTAACTAGAGATTGATAAATTGGCCCTGAAGAGTCTAAAAAAGAGATATCTACATCACAATGGTAGTAAAATTTAACTTTATAATCCAACATTATTTAATAGGCATATTTGTTTAGCAAATTTGCTTATTAACTCTGCTTATCATTAAAGATCTTATTCTAAAGTTAAAATCTAAGTAAGTAAAATACTTTATTCTTACTGGAAGTTCGGTATTTGTAAAGTAAAATAAAAATGAACCTATTATAGCAATAAATTTTCCAATAATAAATAAACTAAATGATAAACAAAGTTTTACAGCTTTTTATTCAAATTACCAGGTTTTTACGCTCCTTCTTTGGTAGGTTAACACCCATTCATAGAATACACTCCTTATTTGGTTTTTATACAAAATTGAAGTATCCACTTTGATCAACTGTTTTAAAATATATAAATACAATTTCATTATTTAAAAAAAAAGTCTGTAAGTAGGTTAACACCCATTCATAGAATTTTAAAAAAAACTAGCTGTTACTTAAGATGTAAAAACCCCTCCGCATACTGGAATAGGTTCTACGTACATGAACCTATCGCCAAGATATGTAAACTTCTAATTTAAAATACATGGAATTTCCTTCTTTAGAACTCCTATGCTGGACATTATTTTACACCCCTGGGTAAAACCATTGTTTTTGGACCAAACCAAACAATGATAACACCCTAGATAAACACAAATTTTGTAGAATTTCGTCAACTTGCCTCTTATAAAAGAGGGTTTCAAAGAAAAACCTTCAAATTCAGAAAACTATAGTTTTCTGGTATACCAGAGTTAACAAACCCAAGAAGAAAAAAATCCGGTATAACCTATAATTATAATAATTCAGAATTACTACAGGCCAGAGGCCACCCAGTTAAACAAAATATAAATAAAATAAGAACAGTGGTTAATAATTTCTGCAGATTTTGTAAAAAAAGAAAAAATCTGTACAACATATTTTTAGTACAAAGCGTTATCGCAAGATAAATTTACCATAGGATGGCACAAAAGATCTTAAGACCCAACCTTTTTTAAATAACTGACTAAAGAAATAAATATATAAGATGATGTTATTAAAGAAAAGTTTAAAAAAAAAATTGAATTTAAAAGTTACTAACCACATTTTTTATTACCCTCTATAGATAAATAATCAAACTTAAATTAAATACTTTTTATTATTAAGACTTATTAAATTATTTTTTATTTCAAGAAATTATATTTTATAATTACTTTTCTTTGTGATTTTGACTTAAAAATAATAGGTTGCATTTAATACTTACATTGGATTGTCCAAAATGTTTTTTAGGGCATTTTGTAAGTCCAAGGCATCAAGTTTGTTAAATCTGAGTCTGATTGCATATTTATTAAAACTTCCATACTCAGCATTTATAAATTGATCAGCAAATATCGGAATGCATATTATTGGACAACCATGATATACTGACTCTATCATACTCATTGCTCCACAATGACTTATAAAGACCTTTGTGTTCTTATGAGCTATAATTTTAATTTAGTTTGCACCTTTTTGTAATGTATTGTAACTTTTTAATTTCCATACCTACCTAAAACATCTTGTTGGGGTATCCATTCCATAACTTTAACATTTTTGGAAATATTACCAACATTTCCTTTAAATTTCCATAAAACGTTTTGAGAAATATTGGCAAAAAAAGTCTGGAAGGCTAGTAAAACTTTATTTGGTAATAAATAACTTTCCAAAATTGAACCCATTGAAAAATAGACTACACCATTTTCGGAATTATCTAAATAGTCTTGTATTTCTGAAGGCAATTTTTTTGGAGGGCTTATATGTACTCCACCTATTTCCTTCATTGATGGAGCCAAAGGAATGTTTGGACACAAACTGTGATGTGAGTTTAGTAAAAATAAATCTACATTATTTATTAATTTTTTTAGATGGGGCATTGGGCCTAACGTTTCCTGAAGGATTTTATTTTCAGTAGGTATACTATATAAATGCATTAAACCCATAAAAATTGAATCATAAATGAAATTTATAAACCTTTCCCACAAATTCATATATGATGTCAAGTCAGAGTGAACATTTGGTGTTATGGATGTGTAGTGTGGATTTTCCACCAAAAAGTTTATAAATATATTTGCATACACTGTTGTTATACAAACTACCGGGCATTTAAAATGGTAGCCTAATGCGGTATAAATTTGTGACAAAAACTTATCATACACAACTAAATCATATGTATTCTTAAATATTTTTTGAACTTCCGTATTTTTAAAAATTAATTCAGAAAATAAAGTATTTACGAGGAATACATCTAATGTATTTTTAAAAAATGATTTTTTTTGGGTGAACTCACTTTTAATCATTGATTCTAAAAATATTAAAAATAAATAATTAGTGGTTAGTTGTTTAAATTAATTTTACCTCTCCTATCTTGATCTTCATAAAGGACAATTTCTTTCCAATTTTTAACAACTGAATTTTCTTTAAAATAACTTATAATAGTTATTTCATGACCTCGTTCTGCCATTTTTTTCATAATTTTTGAGCCAAGAATATAATGGCTGTATGTCGGAAAAGGAAAGATAGCTAATATTTTGGCACACATTCCAAAATTAGTAACACTTAACAGAAAAAACACTAAATGCAAATACTTCATATTTATTTTATCAGAGTGTAAAATAAAGCTTTTGTTAAATGAAATTAAAATAAAACAGTAGCAAAATTTTTTACTTAAAATTTGCATAGTACAGTATTGACATTCTTTACATTTGTGCATAATAATTATTATAAAAATAAAAAGTAGATCAGGGAAAAATAATAAATATTCGACAAATTAGTATAAATATTCCATTATATTTATATTATACCGTTTATAGAAAATAAATAGGGTTTATTGGGTTTTAAGGCAATAATATGTTTTTTCGCTCCCATGGGTGCACCTTTAAAACGCCCATTATCGTACAACGTCCACAAGTCCCACCACGTGACTATGTACGTAACGCAGTCTTTTGAAAATTTGGCATTTAAGTCATTTTAGGTTATCTATTTGTCAAAGTATACTCAATGAAAGAAATCATATATATGCCGCAGTGTTAAAAATAAATAAATCTATATGGTATCACAATTACAATGGTTGGTTTAAGAATTTAGGAAAATATATACTGCATTTAATGAAATTCTAAGTGTATGCATACCATGGTGTCATATTTTTGTGCATTTGGTCTACATATCTGTTTTTTTCTTAAAAAAGGTTTAACTAAACAACATTTATTAAAAAAAGCCGAGCTTCTCTATCATAAATTACGAATATCTGTATCAAAGGTGGGTTAATATGTTATAACAAAAAATATTATTTAATTTTGTAATTTTAAGGTTAATTTTTACCAAAATAAAGTATTTTGGAGTATTTGGAAGCGTGTGTTAGTGTTCAATTATAATGATTTTTCAATGTAGATCAAATTCAATTGATAGTTGATAGTTGTATTGACAAAACATTATGTATAATTAGCTGGATTAGAAAAGGTACCACAGTTTTTTAGAAGAAATCGTAAAGTACAAATATTAAATACTCCTATACTGTGGGATTAATTTAAATTTTTAAAGTTAAAAGGTTATAATGATTGTTCGATGTAGATCAAATTCAGTCGAAGCATTAGCTGGCATTGGAAACTAATGAACTTTAAGAAGGTTAGCTAATGAATTTTCACAAACATATAGATGTAAAAATAATTCACAGTATTTTTAATAAAGTAATAAATTTATATTTGAGATGGGTTTGGTTGTTAAAATAAATAGATTTTTAAATTAATTTGCATTTATTGATGTATTAACTTAATTGTGTTTCTATTAGAGCTGTACATTTTACACAGAGAGAAAACACTCATTTATTATTACAAAATATAAGTTACGAACACATTTCTTTATAAGTACCAACAAGTTATAATTTTTAAATTTTGAAATATAATAAATAAACTTTTTGTTTAATTGGTAAAACATGATGAATTCCTAGAACTTAATTATTGCCTCAAGATAAGATATCTCTAATTTTTTAATAAATAATATAGAATAGATTTTAAACACACGAAGGTGTTTTGCTGGTTGATGTCTTGGTTATTAACAAAAAAAGAGTATTAGGTAATAATTTGGCGGTTATTTAAGAAGTTATATAAATAATAGTTAGCTGTCATGGTTTAAATGTATTACACTGGTTTAATATCAGTAATCTTACAATATCTACAGAATATTACACTATGAGGTAATAGTTAACTCATCGGGTAATAATAAATCTACGAAGAGATGACTTGTAGACGTTTTTATTATTATTATCGAAACAGATTTCTTAATACTTATTATTATAAATTATTTATTGCTATAGCATGGTGTTATATGTAATAACTTATTACTATTTACTAATAAGATTCATTTATACCCAATAAACCACTGGAGTGGGGATAAAAAAATACCTATGCCTCATAGGCTATGCGAGTTTCGACTAGTTCAGTTAAGACTCTTAAGAGATTTAGTCGATTCCCATCATACGAGCCCTAACCACATAATGTTCGGACACTTCATAATTTATACAGAAATTTTTTTCGTGAATACTATCTCAAAATTATTAGAAGTTATGAAAAATTCAGCTTATTTTGGCATATACCCCTCGAAGCGATTTTTATTTTTAAAAAGTTTACCTTTTATTTTTAGGTTTTAAAAAAAGGCTAACTTTTTAACTTTTTTTTGTATGAGTAAAAAAAGTTATAAATGGACCCATTAAAAAGAGCATAAAATATTATACAAACCCTGAAAATTTGGTAAAAAATAAATAAGTTATAAAAAAGTATAAGTAATTTAAAAATGCTATTTTTAAAGAGTTTTTGCAATTTTCTTAGGAAACGGGAGATTTTGCAGATATATATATCGCTATAACTTTCTTATTATTTATACAATTTTTACCAAATTTTCAGGGTTTGTATAATATTTTATGTTCTTTTTAATGGGCCCATTTATAACTTTTTTTACTCATGCAAAAAAAAGTTAAAAAGTTAGCCTTTTTTTAAAAGCTAAAAATAAAAGGTAAACTTTTTAAAAATAAAAATCGCTTCGAGGGGTATATGCCAAAATAAGCTGAATTTTTCATAACTTCTAATAATTTTGAGATAGTATTCACGAAAAAAATTTCTGTATAAATTATGAAGTGTCCGAACATTATGTGGTTAGGGCTCGTAGAATAGTAATAGTTGCATCATTAAGTGGAAACGTTTTTTTGTGTGCAAATTATGGAAAATTCCAAGGCAGATTGTCAGGAACTCTTAACTAACTAACTAACTAACTACTAACTAAGGAACTCTTAACTAAGTGTACTACTGTAATGAATATCACTCCAGTGGCATTGCACAGAAACGGCAGTTATGTTTTCTTGGTAAAAAAAATACTAAAAGTAATATTTTTATGAAAAATAATGAAATCATATTTTGTTACCGGAAGCTTATTATAGATGAGTGGTAACTTCGGATTTTTAGTCAGTTCTAAAAGGATTTTTTTATTTTTATATACCGGGCTCGGTATATACCTACGGATATATAGGTATATAGGGAGCCCGGTAAATAGAAATAAAACATGAAATATAAAGCATTAAAAAAATAAAAATTAAATTCTTTTAGAACTATTATAGTTCTAACTACAAATCACTGATTTGAAATCAGAAGTTACCACTCATCTATAATGATCTCCCGGCAACAAAATATCACTACATTCTTTTTTCTAAAAATATTACTTTAATTATTATTATTTTTATGTACTCATAGGTATAAGCTTACTCTAAATGTATTCATTTTTCAATGGCGGCTGGTGGATTTTGGCTATACCGATATCTTAGTTGGTGTGGGTCCCATGTCTTATAACCAAGTATCGGTATACCCAAAACCCCCCAGACGCCACTTTCTTTTTTTTGTTCTGTTACACCTTAAATATTTTTAAACTTTTTAAAAATAAATTTTCTTATAAATACACACTTTTATTTATTACCTAATACAATCGCACTGTTATAAATACATGCTATACTAATAATCATACATTTCTAATAGTTAAAATATGAATTGATAATTGCAATTAATTAAAATATTTATTATTATTTCTCGCATTATAATAAATACCTATTGCCTTTTTAATACAAAGCTCTTGTGGATGAAGTATTACCTTAAGTTCATTTACTATAAATAGGCTTTTCTAATATAAAGCGCCTGTGGATTAACTATTAAGTGAAGACCAATTACTATAAGAATAGTTTTCTAACATAGAGTTTTTTTTATTAATAGCTAACTAACTAATGTTTTAACTGTTACCGAACTAACTTTTATTAACAAATAAATATGATATACTTTAAGATGTGTTTACTATAAACCCATATGAGGTCGGCAAAATACAATGCTACGTTAAGGTGAATATAAACCTATTACGGTGTTTACAACCACTCCTTTCTCTCTGTGTAGCCGGTTAAGGCGGCTAAAAAAGTTAGCTAAGTTAATTAGCTAGCTAACTGATCAGCTTAGCTAATTTAACCGGTTAACTGAATTAGCTTAGCTAATTAGCTGGCGGCTTAACCGGTTAATCTAGCTTAGCTCAGCTAATTAGCTAATGGCTAACCGGCAAAACTTTCTACTAAAACTCAACCGTTCAATTTTTAAGGCTATAAACACTGTATATTTACAATAAAGGTTTTCAAATACATATACTTATTATATATAATTACAATTAAAGTGAGTACAGGCCCTGATGGGGCTTGACTAAAAAAAATATATATATAAAATTAAAATGATGGGGCCATATCAAAGGATTTTAGCAACTAGTGTAGATATTATATTAAACTAGTAAAATGAGTATAGGTCCTGAAAGAACCTAACCCATAGATATAGATATAAATTGAGAGTAGTAATAAGTATGTGTAAAAAAAATATTCCTTTGGGTACTTTACCGCCTGCTTGTTTCACTGGATGAACCCTGGTTGGCTTTACAATAGCACTTGGTAAGATGGCACGTGGCATGGGCGTAAGATTTTAAGTCCACAAGGAGAAACCTCTAGATTTAGAGGTTCCTCTATATTGAATTCAACTTAACCTGAATAACTATACCAGAGTTAACAAACCCAAGAAGAAAAAAATCCGGTATAACCTATAATTATAATAATTCAGAATTACTACAGGCCAGAGGCCACCCAGTTAAACAAAATATAAATAAAATAAGAACAGTGGTTAATAATTTCTGCAGATTTTGTAAAAAAAGAAAAAATCTGTACAACATATTTTTAGTACAAAGCGTTATCGCAAGATAAATTTACCATAGGATGGCACAAAAGATCTTAAGACCCAACCTTTTTTAAATAACTGACTAAAGAAATAAATATATAAGATGATGTTATTAAAGAAAAGTTTAAAAAAAAAATTGAATTTAAAAGTTACTAACCACATTTTTTATTACCCTCTATAGATAAATAATCAAACTTAAATTAAATACTTTTTATTATTAAGACTTATTAAATTATTTTTTATTTCAAGAAATTATATTTTATAATTACTTTTCTTTGTGATTTTGACTTAAAAATAATAGGTTGCATTTAATACTTACATTGGATTGTCCAAAATGTTTTTTAGGGCATTTTGTAAG